GAAAAACCCGGTGAGATCTTAATGAATTTCTCTTCCTTTCTTGTTAAATCACAAGATTTGGGGCTTAGAATCTTCTCCCTCAACCCAGAAAATCCCGAATCTGCTCTGCTCTTCTCCCTTGTTCGTCGGGTTCTGCTGGGTTTGAATCCTTCGGCTTTTTCTGGTAAGATTTAGCCATGAATTCATCTCTTGAACTTTGAATTTGGCTTGGGTTTACCTTGAATTGTGTTTTGGTTTTTGGATTGGGTAGCCGCGAGTTCCCCTGCAGAATTTCTTCTTCTCTGCCGCCGGCTTCTTCTTCCCCTGCTAGCTCCGGTTCTTGCTGGAAAATTCTGGTATGATGGCCACTTCTTTAAGCCCTAAATTAGCCATTTAATTGCTGCCTTGTGTGTGTCCGAATTGTGCCGGAAATGGGGAGGAATTCCGGTAGCATTAGTAGCATTTAAATGTGTTTTGTGCTTGGTTTATGTAGAATTAGTTTAATTAGGTTGTTGTGATGTTTTGTGTGAAAATCCCGTGAATTAGCTAGTGTTTTGGCTAATGTTTGGAAGTGGCAGTACTGTTCACGTCGTGAGCACTGTTCACGGGTACTGTTCATAGGCACTGTTTATATGCACTGTTCACACACTGAGGGTCAATAATTAACGGGGATTTAAACGATTAGTTTGTGATATAAGAATGAATTTGGAGATGTCCGATTAGGTGAAGATTGATAGAAACAGCACCGTGGTTAGGGGTAATGTTAAAGATGATTCTACTTTGGATTTGTGGTAGCATGGTGATTAATTCTTGAATACTGTGATTAGGTTCTGATCGTTCTGTCACCGTAGCACTTGGGTTAGCCTTCTGTTCTGTGCGAGTGAGGTAAGTAAATTATGGTAAACCCCTTCGATTTTAAAGCATGTTCTAAACTGTTTTTGAGATGGTGGCAAGGTTTAAAGTGATTTTAAATTGATTTTATCAGCATCTGAATGTGATTAAACTGAAATGGAAATTGTGATGGTTTTTATGAGAATTTCACTGTTTTCTGGAATTGAACATGATTGGAATGAAAATGGGAATTTCATTGTTTTTCTGGAATTGAGCATGATTGAAATGAAAAGTGAGAATTTCATTGTTTTTCTGGAGTTATTGCACCGAGCATGATTGGTTTGAAATGAAACTGTTTTCATTGGTATTGAGTAGAGCATGCCTATTTGGAATTGACTGAACTGTTTTGATGAACTGAGAGTTACAATTCTGAGTTTTCTGATAAATCCATGCCCACATGGATTTTTTTGGTTATTTTTGAAATTGGGATTGATTGTGAAATTCGGGTTTTCTGTAAACTCTGCATGGTTTTGTCTCGGATATGGTCATGATTACTGATTACTGTGCCCGCTAGTGGGAGGTTTATAAACGCTAGCACATGTCAACATGTTTACTGATAGAACCGGTTCATCCTGCCAATGGGATAATACATTTGGCACAATTATTGTCGCCTGTCAGTGGGAGTTGTAAACACTGGCACCATTATTGACGCCTGTCAGTGGGAGTTGTTAAACACTGGCACTTCTGTAACCTTGCCTATGGGGTTAAACATTGGCAACTACTGTGCCCGCCAGTGGGAGATTTATAAACGCTGGCCATGACTTATAGATGAGACTACTGAACTGAGCTTTCTTCTGCATTGACGGTTTGTTATTGAATTGAATCTGATTTTGCACTGACGAGTTGTCATTGAATGCTTTACAATTAAACTGAATCTGATTTTGTCACTGAGCGTTTTGGTTATATTAAACTGTTTATCTGGCGTGCTTAAAAGTTTTACTCAAGAGCTATCCATATTTACTTACTGAGTTATCTCATAGTTTTCCTTGTCCACCATTTCAGGAAGCGATACCGAGGACGGAGAAACCGAGGGGAGTGACGAGTTAGAAGGCTAGCCATTTCGAGATTGGTATAGATTTAGAAATAAATCATGCTCTTGCAAGCTAGAGTGGATTTGGAGATTTTATGATATCAGAGCAGATTGTAAAATTTTATCTTGAGATTTTGTGGCATCAGATTGTGAATTGGATAAGTTCCGAACCTTGTGCATTTGTGGGGCCCTCTCACGAGTGCACGGCGTCTGTCGCGCCTCGGATTTGGGTTCTGGGGCGTGACAGCATTATATATTAAATCATCTTTCTTCATATATTTCCATCTTCCTACTTACTTATATATAAACCCTCGTTTGTTTTTGCATCAATATATTATGTTCTCCTCTTCATGTTTTTAATTTCTTTTTGCAAACATGAAGAGTTCTAAACATTATTTTTCTTTTTGTTTCCTATTTCATATTGTAACTAAATATAATGTTATATTTTTATTTTGTGTCTTTTTTCCTCTTTGTCCAAAATAGATATATTGTTGTATGAATTATTTTTTGTATTAGTCTCATTATTTTTTTTATGATTTTTTATAAAATAGATGTTTTTTTTAAGGAAATTTGTAATTTTATCTATTTAAAATTTATGCATTTTTTTCTTTGTAGATTATTATTATTATTATTATTATTATTATTATTATTTGTGTTTGTTAAGGAGAGAACTTTATTCATGGGATTGGAATTGATTAAAGTGATAAGTGTTGATTCACATATTAAATTGAACAAGAAAGGTATGAATTTGATGAAAATCAAGTCATATGAAAAATATTTTTTTTTTTTGTTTTTACAAGTTATTATGTTTCTTACTTTATTTATATTATACTATTATTAACTTTTTAATCATTTTTAAAGTAAATTTTACTTTACATTCCTTATAAATTGTATATATATCCAATATTATTGCCACATATATTTGTGCATATGTATTCAATTGTACTAAAATCTCATTCAAATCACTTTCTTTTTATAATTTTGATTTGACTACTTATCTTAATATATTAAAATAATTTGTAATATAAGTTAAGAAATAGAAAAGGGACGAAAAAAAATGACAATAAACTGGAAATGATAGAAGGGATAAGAAAAAAAATCATAAAATAAAATTTTGCAAGTAAATATAGAAGAGAGAATTGGTAAAGACATGTAAAAAAAAAATTGTTAAATACTTTCCCTTATTTTATAATACTTTATGTAAATCTTGCATATTAAAAATAATTATGGTTTAATTTTTTTTATTAAAATAGTAGTTGATAAATTTTTACCTCAATTTTTAAGGATTATAAAGTCAATTAAATAAGAATTAAAAATAATTGAGGAAGATGAAAAAAAATAATAATAGAAGTATGAGGTCAAAATTGTTTTATTATTAGATTAACAATTAATAAAACTTATATTAAAAAAGGAAAGTAAAAATGTTACCCTATGTATAAAGAAAATTTATATATCCAATAATAAATAATTTTTATATATTATA